AATATATGTGGCATATTACGTCTTGTTAGAATGATAAACAGGCAAATCACCGCGCGAATTATATAGAATAAGTGACGATTTGAATAAGTTTTTGTACATATGCTTATGTATACATATCGGTAAGGTTATCTCGACTGCCCTCCACCAAGGCCCATTATGAGGCTATATTAGAGGCAGGTACATACATAAATATATGGCAGAGTACCCAACCTACTGTATTTGCGTAGAATGGCCAAATAATATTAATCCATTTTTTTAAGATATGAGTGTAAAATAATTAATTTAAACAAAATAAAATCGAAAAACTATCGATATTCTCACCACACTTAGCAATAGCTTTTGTCTACCGGTAGAATCGATACTGATATAAGTGGAAGAAATACGAATACAGAGCTTATTTTATTAGCGTCTTCAGGCACTTATTCGATAAAAGTCACTGTGCGGTACTTGTGAGAATTTTTTTAGAGTGAGGCGGACTAGTCTAAGTGTGCATACATAATGACTAGATATATAAAATAAAAATTTAACAGGTGTTATAAAAATAAAAAGGACTAAAAGCTTCGTAAATTGATAACATATTTTTCAGTTTTTTTGTCACCAAGCAATTCAAAACTACATACATAAATATGTATTTTACATTTTATGAATTTAGGTATAAGCATATAAAACTCATAACTTGGCACTACTCAATACAATCTGTGTCTACCCACTACCAACAATAACCAACACTCAAAGCACATTTTGGCGGAGCGGTCCAGTAGGACCCCTCACCTGGCTGTGACCATCCACAAGCATTGCTTTTGGCGCCGATGTTGGCGTAGGCACTGGTATCGGCGAGTGAACTGGCGTTGCTGTCGCACTACTTTTGTTTGATGTTGTTGGCGTTGGACGCTTGGTAGGGGTGATGATAGCCGCCACCAGAGGTTTGGTGAGCGCTGGTGCGGTAATTAGGCTCTTACTGCGCTTTTGTGCGGTAGCATAAATTGGCTCACTTAACTTAGTTATTACAGTGTTAGGTTGTGCAACAAAAACCGCTGGCATAGCGGCAGGCGATTGCAGGACTGGTATTGTTGCCGTGGCATAAAGCGATGCTTGCAGTGAAAGTGGCGAGTTAATTAATGCCGCCGATGGGGCGCGGTTACCCTTCACTGCCAAATTGTTAGGCACTGCAGTGGCAGCAACAGCCGCATCAGTACCGCTAGCGGCAACAGTATCAGCACCGGCGGCGACCTCATCAGCATCATCTACGGTCACCGTGATGGTGACAACCGATTGCGGTAGCCCAACAGCTGAATGCAGCTGCGAGTGTTGCTGTTGCAGTGGCCGCTGGTGCTGCTGCTGGTACTGATGCGAATACTGGTGCGGATGTAAATGTTGACGCATGTTCGACTGCTGCTGCTGCCACTCCTGCATATATTGGTGTTGGTGATGCGCGCGAGCGCGATGCTGGGGACTTACTTGAGAGGAGCTGCCACGTTGAGGCACTGGCGGTGGCACCGCATGGGCCGCACTCGTTGCGGTCGCTATTTGACGCTGGTAAGGCGAAGCCACACCGTTGTGTACATAGAGGTCAGGCGGGTCGCAATTTTGACAGGCATTTGCTTCAACATCGACCGCCGCTGTTGTTGGATTGGAACTTAGGGGTGGTACCCCAGGCACGTTGGTGTTGTTCGTGGTTTTATTAGCCAAATCTGTGTTGAGTTTCAGCCGGGGTTTAAGTGGCGCAAAGAAGTGCTTTGGGCTACTTAGTGTCGATGGCACATTCACAGGCGTTGTCGTGATTGCGACTGTTTCTATTGTGGACGTATTTGGCTGGCTCTGCACACTCGGCGCTGTTACCGTAAAACCGGTCGAGTTAGACGAGCTTGCATTACCTGCCGCCGGCACAAATGTTGTCAACAGCTGAGGCGGCTTAAAGCGTTGTTGTTGTGCCGTACTCGACGAAAGATTGGCTATCTGTAGAGCCGGTTGTGAGCTGTCGCCCGAAATTTTTCGATGTGCGAAAGGCGATTGCAGTTTGTAGTCCCAACCGTTGGTGTGGCGCATATTTTTCGAAATAGGCGAGCTGGCGCTTGGTGCGTTGCCTTTGCAGTGGATGGAGAATGTTTCAAGATATTAATGCGACAATACTAGACAATTGCTTGCTCACCTATATTCGATCCCATGTGATCCTGTATTATATTCTCGAAGTAAGATAATGGCGGCACGACCGCTTGTAGGTCATTCAGCTGATTGGCCACCTGCTCGATAGGCGTCAACGGCGTCAGCGGTCCAACTAAGCTGGGCAATGTCATCTGCGATCCACCGCTATCAAGCGTATAAATATGCAACATTTCATTGTGTGGCACCGGCGGGTGTAAATCGGCATTGCTCATCGTTTCCTCCGACACCACGCACAGATACGGCGAAACTGGGCGTTAATTCCATGGGCGCCGCGTCCGAAAGCACACCAAATTTACATCAAGCATTTGATCATCTGTCCGTGGTGTCGGAGGAAACGATGAGCAATGCCGATTTACACCCGCCGGTGCCACACAATGAAATGTTGCATATTTATACGCTTGATAGCGGTGGATCGCAGATGACATTGCCCAGCTTAGTTGGACCGCTGACGCCGTTGACGCCTATCGAGCAGGTGGCCAATCAGCTGAATGACCTACAAGCGGTCGTGCCGCCATTATCTTACTTCGAGAATATAATACAGGATCACATGGGATCGAATATAGGTGAGCAAGCAATTGTCTA